TGTGGTGCTGCTGTTATTGAATATTTGTCACTGCAGTGTTGGGTGAATGAACCAGTGACTATTAGTTTACTGAGTGAATTGTGAGTATAATTGTACCTATTATGACACTGGCAACCATATTCACCATACTGTAGTCTATGAGTTATATTAATTGTCAATAGAGAGCTGGTATTACTCTGATGTACTGAATATCCTATAGTCCCTTCTTGTATCTCTATTCCTCCTTCAGTCCATACTAACTCTTGTCCAGGCTGTAAGTTAGCTGCTCCATTAGTGATAGTACAGTTGAGTGATAAGGAACTTCCATCACTAGAGAAACTAGTACTCACTTTAAGGCTGTATTGACTAACTGTAAATAAACAAAATAATGTATTAGTTTCTGCAGTAAATTTTTTAAGCATTCTAATTTGGGGAGCCTAACTTAATGTGAATAAAACAACAAGTTATTAGTAATATAAAGTTCATGAAAAGAGCAACTCAATTACATGTAGGATCATAAACTTACCTAATTTATTTATATTTGTTACACCATTACAGACCTCCATCAGTACACCTCTTGCCCCTTGAAGAACTAATATTACAGTTAAAAGAAGGAGATAGCAATCCTTCATGATTCTTCTTATTGCCAGTCAATAGTCGTCTTACTGTTCAAGCAGGTTGTATCTATAAACAAACCACAGAAATACAATAGTCTACTTAACTTTTAGATCTACTACAGTAATTACATATTTGATAGCTGATATCATGCAATCTCTGATTTAGAGTCTAGAGTATGTACTCATGCATGCATAGATGTAGATCTAGATCAAATCATTGAGTTCGTTTTACTGCCAGAAATAGCCTTTATGAAGTATAGCAAATTTCCTTTTAAAGGGTTAGTTCTATTAATAGCTGAGCTATAAAACTGATTAGAATATGCATAGGTTTTTGGTCAAATTTAATTGGTCACAAATGGGGCAACGCCTAAGAAAGGAATGTGCATGATTGCTCTCCAAACAATGGCGAAACAGCATCCAAAAGGTAGCAAAAGCTTCAAGCAATAATTTTGTTAACATTATTAATAGATTACCCTGGATTGAAAGCAAGATTTTTCCATAGTGCTGCAACAGTAGGTGATTCACTATTTGTGTGGGCTGGTGGTCAAGCTGGTTTGCCTAATGTACATGACAGTACAGAGAAGAGAAAATTTACTAATACTATACAACACTTTACTGCCTCATCTGGTCAATGGTTTGCTAGAGAAACTACTGGAGTACCTCCATTAGGAGTCACTGCTTATTCGTGTACTGCAATAAACGACCATTTGTATTATTTTGGAGGCTATTGCAATCATGACAACTGCTTTCACAACAGCATTACAAGACTAGATGCTATTAGTCTTCAATGGAGTGAGATAGAACCAACTGATTCAACCAAGCCAGTTATGAGGAGAGGTTGTGGGGGGATGTTATCGTTTGAACATGATGGAGTACACTACTTACTAATGATAGGAGGAATAGGATCTAAACCAGCTGTAAAACTATCTCACAATAAATACATTCAGTCTAAGCTACATGGTGGAAGATGGCGTACTAATGAACACTCAATGTATAATTTATCATCAGGTAAGACTGATGATTTTGTATAGGTCTGGCACATCTATTTATCTACTATAAATGTAAATTATTATCATTTGTAATCATTATTTCAACTAGATGTATATTATGGACATAAAGTCTCATCCAGTTTTAATTAATGAATATTTCATTTATGTAGGAAAATGGGACAATGTATTAATCATTGGTGAATGTATACCACCTGCTGATGGCTTTATTATTGAAAAAATTAGCAACACAAGAGCTGTTCTGTTTGGAGGAATTGTACAAGATGAAGCTACTGCCAGTAATAATATATATATACTAAATTTAAACCTATCATTGAGCACTGTGGTATGTTAAATTATGCATGTTTTGTTAATATTTTTCATTTCATTTACATATATTGTAGTCTTGGCAGTGTATAAAGAAACCTGAAGTAATCGACCAGTGGCCTGTTGGTAGATATAATCATGCAGCAGCTATTATTCTAAAAAAATCAGGCTGTCCTCTTCTGGTGATATGTGGTGGGATGAATAATGATGATGATACATTAGATGACTGCTGGATCTTTGATACTACTCAACACACATGGACAACCTGGACAAAAGTATGAATTTTATTACATTATTTATTGAATGACGTTGTGATTGCATAATTAGTCTAGACACATGATTCTTCTTCTATATTCATAATAGGTAGATATACATGACTCATTTAGTAAGAGATGGGCTCATTCCCTCTCAGTGTTCACTTTTAGTCCTCGTTGTTTTTGGATCATAACTGTTGGAGGAGCATTTATTTCCAATACAGAACTGATTCAGTATCCAAATGTAACCATGATAAAAAGCTTAGGTACATTATGTTTGCTAACTTTTACATGCATATACTATCTACCATATGACACAGAAATGAAAATTAAAATTTCCCCTTTCTGTTTATAGTTTTTAATGAGGAAAAAATTATAATATTAAATATACCAGTATCAAATAATCAGCAGTACCAAAGTACATATTTTCAACAACTACAACTAGGAAGAATGCATTGGCTAGAGTATCAGAGACTAAAAGAAAAACAAAAGGAAGCAGCACAAGAATTGGAAGGGCACCAGCTCGCAGAATATAAAACATTACTAAAACAGCAGGAACTAGAGGTGCAAGCTATTAAACAACAATTAAGGAATGAGCAAGATCATAGCCGTCAATTGTTAATAGATATGGAAAAAAAGGAGACAAAACATTATTTACAATTACAAGAGAAAGAGCAAAAATATCACCATCAATTGCAAGAAAATAAGGCAGAAAAGGAGCTAGAATTACAAAGATTCTGTTTTCAGTTACAGGAGAAGTTGGAGAGAGAAAAGGCAGCAAAAGATCTAGAAATACAAAATTGTCATCATCAGCTACAAGAAAAGGAGCAAGAGATGCATAAATATTACCAGCATGTTGAAAATCAGTTACAATTGAAGGAAGCTGAAAATCAAAGGTGCCATTTTCAATTGGAGGAGCAAGAAAGAGAGAAAGCCAAAACAGATCAAGAAATACAAAATTATTGTTATCAGTTGCTGGAGAAAGAAAAAATGGAGGCATTGAAAAATCAAGAAATACAAAAATACCTTCAACAGCTGCAAGAAAAAGAGGAGGAAATACAAAATTACTTTAATCAATTGCAAGAGAAAAATCAAGAAATACAAGAGTTGTCTCGTCAGTTGTGGGAGAAGGAGAAAGAAAAAGCAGAAAAAGATCAAGAAATACAAAAATACCAATATCAGTTACAAGAGAAGGAGAAAACTGATGCACTAACAAAGCAAGAAATAGAAAAATACTGTCAACAATTGCAAGAAAAAGAGCAAGAGAACTTAAAGAAGGAGAAAGAAAAACAGATATATTATCAAAAAATACAAGAAAGTGAACTAAGAGAGAAGACCAAAACAAAACAAAAGCATTCTCTACAATTGTCAGAAAAAGAAAAAGAAATTCAAAGATGCCATCAGCATTTAAGAAAAGAGGAAGCAGAAAAGGAGCAATATTGCCATCAGCTAAAAGAAAATGAGAAGAATTATATTCAACAGTTACAGGTGAAAGACCAGGAACTTACAGAAATGCGAAAGTATCATCATCTTCAGTTACAAGAGAATGAGGCAAAAATAAAGCAAAAAATGCAAAATTTTGATCACGAGTTACAAAAGATGAAGAAAGAGCTAGAAGACAAAGAAAAAGAGATGCAAAAGTACCAATATCAGTTACAAGAGAAGGAGAAAACTGATGCACTTTCAAAGCAAGAAATACAAAAATACCATCAACAATTGCAAGAAAAAGAACAGGAGAACTTAAAAAAGGAGAAAGAAAAACAAATATATTATCAAAAAATACAAGAAAGTGAGAGAGAGAAGACAGAGACAAAGCGAAGGCATTCTCTACAACTGTCAGAAAAAGAAACAGAAATTCAAAGATGCCTTCAAAATTTAAGAAAAAAGGAAGCAGAGAAGGAGCAATATCGCCGTCAGCTAAAAGAAAACGAAAATAAATATATTCAACAGTTACAACAGAAAGACAAGGAACTTTCAGAGAAGCAAAAGTATCATCATCTTCAGTTGCAAGAGAATGAGGCAAAAATGAAGC